CTGGTTCTGACCTGACGGTGTTCTGTCTGTGGTTCTGCTGGTTCTGACCTGACGGTGTTCTGTCTGTGGTTCTGCTGGTTCTGACCTGACGGTGTTCTGTCTGTGGTTCTGCTGGCTCTGACCTGACGGTGTTCTGTCTGAGGTTCTGCTGGCTCTGACCTGACGGTGTTCTGTCTGAGGTTCTGTTGGTTCTGACCTGCAGTGTCGGTGCGGTTCTGCTGTTTGCGGTTCTTCCAGATCTTTGCAGGATTCTTCAGTTTGGGCAGCCTCCTCCTCTCTTTGTCTTGGTTCTCCTCGACGCCTCCTGCTGTGGAAACAGAACGTTCATGTTCTCGTCATTCAAACAGAAACAGTAAATAAAGAACTTCCTTGCCTGATTGAACTCAATTACCCAGAAGTCCTCAGAAATCCAACTCACAGGCTGTGAGCCGAGCACGATAACATGAAGGAGGTCACGTGTCACGTGTTTGCTGGCTATAAATAAGGTGCTTATAGTCACTGATGACATCATTAATCAGAGGTTTAAACTGATATTGATTTTATGAGACTAAGTTAATGAATTAGAAATCAGGGACCAGCTTCACAAAACACCTCAAGTTTTCTCTTTAAGTATGACATTTAATTTCTCCTTAGCTGAGGGATTTAACACAGTTGTACAGAATCCCTTAAAATGTTTCCTTAGTTAAGGAAAAACTCATTTAGTGCATTGAAAGAGATTTTACAGTGGAACGTGTTTCCATGGAGACTGTTTGTTTGTGACACCTGAGATCGTCTCACTGAGATCGATGGTGAAAACTGTGTGAAGAAAAGAAGAGAATAAAAACAGACAGGTGAGAGGAGGAACAGATGAAACTTCAGGAGGAAGAGATGAAACTTAAGGAGGAACAGATGAAACTTCAGGAGGAAGAGATGAAACTTAAGGAGGAACAGATGAAACTTCAGGAGGAACAGATGAAACTTCAGGAGGAACAGATGAAACTTCAGGAGGAACAGATGAAACTTCAGGAGGAACAGATGAAACTTCAGGAGGAACACAGTCAGAGAAAGAACAAAGTACAAAATAAATGTGACCCTTAAATACAGGAAACAGGAAACGACTGTGAGGAAAATTAATTCAGTCAAATCTAAAGTGTAAAATCAGAAGCGTGTCCGTCAGGTCCTCCTGATCTCAGAAAGCTCGTCTTCATTTATCACCTTAAACTCAGTCATGTCAAGTCAGAGGGACCTTAAGGGATTTTTTTATCCTTGCTTTGGTTGCTAAGGTTTTTTATCCAGCAGTTAAGGGATTCCTTAAGTGTTGGATAGAGACAAGGAGACAACCTTAAATACTTAAGTGAACTTTTTAAGGAAACCTTAAGGAGAAAGTTTAAGGGTGTTCTGTGTGACAGATTTTATTTGAGGAAACATCAACTAAAACTTTAAATCTTAACTTGAGGTGTTTCCCGTTTCCCCTTTGTAAAGGCTGCTGACACAGTTTGATTCAATGTGAATAATCAGATGATGTCATTAATAATTCATTGTGATGAGCACGTGCCAGCTGGGACACACACACACACACACACACACACACACACACACACACACACCTGAACAACCTAAAGAAGTAAGTGTGAGCAGTCCAGTGAACACAGAGCTGCTGTTTCCCTTCACGGTGTCATGTTACAATAACCCTCTCATCAGACTGTTACTCATTCACATCAACACTGAACACTGATGAGTCTGAAGTTGAACCATGTTTGTTATTAACGCAGATCAATAAACCGATCACCATCACACCCGCTGACTGTAGGTGACGTCACAGTTTAACGGTCGATCTGAGCGGAAATAAATTAACCCTTCACAATAAAACTCTGAACATTAAAGGAAAGTTAGTCAGTAAAGAGAAACAGACAGATGCAGCTTCCTACCTCTCATCTCTCCTGCGTTTGATTCTCTAATGGAACAGCCCGGAGGGGCGGGGCTACACTCATGAGGGTGGAGCCACCTGTCTGTCTGCCTGTCTGTCTCTGTGTGTCCGTCCATCTGTGTGCAGGCTCTGGTGACTGATCATCACACAGTGTGGGTAAATACAGAGAGCAGAGGATCAGACACACAGACAGACACACAGACAGACACACAGACAGACAGACAGACACACACACAGACACACAGACAGACAGACAGACACACACACAGACACACACACAGACAGACACACAGACAGACAGACACACAGACACACAGACACACAGACAGACACACAGACAGACACACAGACAGACAGACAGACACACACACAGACACACACACAGACACACACACAGACACACACAGACAGACAGACACACACAGACACACACAGACAGGTACACACACACACACACGCACACACACAGACACACAGACATACGGACAGACGGATCATGATCAGCAACAGTGAAAGGCTCCTCCTGGTCCGCAGCGCCCCTCTGAGGCCAACAGAGGAAACTGCAGATCTGCCTCAGTGTCTGACGTCACTCTGCAGCCTCAGTTTAATACAGACTCCCCAAACACATGACGTCATCATCATCATCATCATCATCATCATCATCTCTTTATTGAGTCTAAATAAGACAATCATCATCATCATCATCATCATCATCACCATCACCATCATCAGTGAGTCTGAACAGAATCCTCACCTGAGCCGCTCTGACGCCTCCTGCTGGACACAGACTGAAGCCACATCATCTTCATCAGGACCAGAACCAACAGAACCTTTAGGGTCCAGAATCTGCTGCTGCTGCTGCTGCTGAGACCAAACCTGATCTGAATGTCTCAACTGTGTCTCAGAGCATCTCCTCTTCCTCACACTCAGCTGCTTTTTACTTTCACTTTCTGTTTGAGCTCTGTCTGCAGATTTATTTTAGTCCCCCTCCTCCTCCTCGTCCTCCTCCTCCTCCCCCTCCCCCTCCTCCTGGCACCCTCAGCCTTTCAGCCTCAGCTCTGGGTAAACAAGCCCCTGATTTGAGGTGACTAAGCAGCTGGGAGGGATTTTCCAGGAGGACTCTTCATCAGAGACGACTCTTCATCAGAGAGAACTCTCCTGGTTAAAGTTAGGAGGACGTGGTGTTTGGGTGAAAGTGAACAGGTTTCCTTGCAGAGAGTTTACAGAGAGAACTTCTCTCATACAGTGACGAAATCATCAGGCTGCACCTGAGTGTGCAGCACATGTGTTGTCTGGGTGAAGACAGACTCAGAGGAGACAGATATCAGTATTGATCCTATTGACAGCAGGATTAATCATCAAAATAAAAAGGTAGTATCTAGAATATTGATGTTTTGGTATCGACCCATCCGTCACCACCTGACACTCCTGTTCCACCAACATGGAACCACAGACTGTGTAAAATACCAGATGTGTCTTCAGTGACATCATCTGTTGGTATGTGGACTCACATTTTAAAACCTTAGGTTCAGTGTTTTGGATTTTTGGAGCCAGTAGTGACCTCATTTGGACGAGAGCTAACTTTAACAGTAGCTGCTAGCTTGGTTAGCACGGTGCGATTACAGCTGTGGTGATAACACTAATGCTACAGAGAGGTGATGGAGCCTGTAGTGGAGGAAATGTTGCTCCACAAGTGACTCTCCGTCTGTCAGACAGAGCGTTGGTAAAATACTGGTCACAGACAATTGAAGACCTCCAGGTAAAAACAATATATTCACGAGTAACCAGTAATGAGTAATCTATTACATTTTTAGAATAACAAGCCCGACACCGTGCGACGCCCTGCACTGATGTCACATCCTTGATCACAGTGGTTCTGATTAAAACAGGTGGAAACACAGGCCGCGGCTCAGAGAGTCCTGAACAGAACCGCTTCATGAACCAGAACTCATGTGGTGTTAGTGTCTGAGCTGCACTGATGACATCGCAGTCCTAGTAGCCAATCAGATGTGAGCTGGGACAGAGAGTGTGTCTGTGTGTGATGTAACGTGATCAGTGGTCAGGTTTAATAATCAATGCAGCTGTGATCAATAATAGACGAAGGAGGAGGATGATGAGGTCAGTGGGACGCACCATCCTCACCTTCTCACACCACCTGGACTCACTGCACCATCTTCACCCTCTCACACCACCTGGACTCACTGCACCATCTTCACCCTCTCACACCACCTGGACTCACTGCACCATCTTCACCCTCTCACACCACCTGGACTCACTGCACCATCCTCACCCTCTCACACCACCTGGACTCACTGCACCATCCTCACCCTCTCACACCACCTGGACTCACTGCACCATCCTCACCCTCTCACACCACCTGGACTCACTGCACCATCCTCACCCTCTCACACCACCTGGACTCACTGCACCATCCTCACCCTCTCACACCACCTGGACTCACTGCACCATCCTCACCCTCTCACACCACCTGGACTCACTGCACCATCCTCACCCTCTCACACCACCTGGACTCACTGCACCATCCTCACCCTCTCACACCACCTGGACTCACTGCACCATCCTCACCCTCTCACACCACCTGGACTCACTGCACCATCCTCACCCTCTCACACCACCTGGACTCACTGCACCATCCTCACCCTCTCACACCACCTGGACTCACTGCACCATCCTCACCCTCTCACACCACCTGGACTCACTGCACCATCCTCACCCTCTCACACCACCTGGACTCACTGCACCATCCTCACCCTCTCACACCACCTGGACTCACTGCACCATCCTCACCCTCTCACACCACCTGGACTCACTGCACCATCCTCACCCTCTCACACCACCTGGACTCACTGCACCATCCTCACCCTCTCACACCACCTGGACTCACTGCACCATCCTCACCCTCTCACACCACCTGGACTCACTGCACCATCCTCACCCTCTCACACCACCTGGACTCACTGCACCATCCTCACCCTCTCACACCACCTGGACTCACTGCACCATCCTCACCCTCTCACACCACCTGGACTCACTGCACCATCCTCACCCTCTCACACCACCTGGACTCACTGCACCATCCTCACCCTCTCACACCACCTGGACTCACTGCACCATCCTCACCCTCTCACACCACCTGGACTCACTGCACCATCCTCACCCTCTCACACCACCTGGACTCACTGCACCATCCTCACCCTCTCACACCACCTGGACTCACTGCACCATCCTCACCCTCTCACACCACCTGGACTCACTGCACCATCCTCACCCTCTCACACCACCTGGACTCACTGCACCATCCTCACCCTCTCACACCACCTGGACTCACTGCACCATCCTCACCCTCTCACACCACCTGGACTCACTGCACCATCCTCACCCTCTCACACCACCTGGACTCACTGCACCATCCTCACCCTCTCACACCACCTGGACTCACTGCACCATCCTCACCCTCTCACACCACCTGGACTCACTGCAGCATCCTCACCCTCTCACACCACCTGGACTCACTGCACCATCCTCATCCTCTCACACCACCTGGACTCACTGCACCATCCTCACCCTCTCACACCACCTGGACTCACAGCACCATCCTCATCCTCTCACACCACCTGGACTCACTGCACCATCCTCATCCTCTATGAGCAGAGGAAATCTCTGCTAGCTGCTAGGCTAATTTATACAATGTAAAATGCCATAGGTTTGTGCTAATAATGTTAGCATGTTGTATTTGTGGGGAAAATGTGTCCAGATAAAGACAAGTGTTTGTCTGTGAATGCTGCGAGTTATAGTGAAGCTGATTTGTGTTTGAAACTGTCTCTATTAAGCCATGTTTAATGTGTGTTTAATGTGTGTTTGTTTAATGTGTGTTTAATGTGTGTTTTGAATCAACTAAACTTTACAGCACTTCACAGAAACCTCTGCCACCATCTAGTGTTCCAGTCTCTATATACAGACTATATAGCAGCATATTTACTTATATATAAATGGAAGTTGGAAACAGAAGTTTGCCTCCTCCGCCCAAATCAAACCGGAATGCCAAAAAATTGGGGGTCTGCCCCCATCGGCTGTATTCGGCGTCCGCCGGAAGTCAGATGCCGAATACAGCCGATGGGTTCCTTGAATGCCTCACACCCGTATAAATGCCCATAACAGCAGAGGCTCTGCTGCACAAGTATAACTCAGCTTTAGTGTCTTACAGTTGGTAATTCACGAGCAAGGAACACGCAACCAATCAGATACGTTTTAGAAGATTTATTGGACAATAATGAATTGGATGGATGGATGGATGAATGGATGAATGGATGGATGGATGAATGGATGGATGGATGGATGGATGAATGGATGGATGGATGGATGGATGGATGGATGAATGGATGGATGGATGGATGGATTATTGAGTGCGGTGAGGGGAGATTTGGAGGTCAGTAGTGGCGCCCGGGCATCGATGAACCCCTAGTGTCCTAGAGGAGAGGAGACAGGGAGACAAGGTGAAAGAGGGTGGGAGGGAGGGATGCGAATGCAGGAGCGAGAGACTGAGGAAAGGGTTAGTTCTGCTTATATAGTAGGCTAGAAGGCTGTGATTGGTGTGTGTTCCCGCTCCTGAAACTGCGCTTTAACAAGCTTCGATAAATCCCAGTGCACCATGATACACAGAGTCCAGAGCATACAGACACTGTGAGGGTGCATTCATAGGTATATGTAGATAATACATCCCATAATCAACACAGTGAGGAATGAGGCAGAGAAGCAGCTTCTGTCTCTAAAATAAAAACCCACATTAATCACATCTGACAGTGACGACACTCTGAAACCAAATCACACAGACGCAGTCAAATCAGGACGACATGCAATCCACACACACACACACACACACACACACACACACACACAGGAAGAGACACCTGAAGTCAAACGGAGAGCAGCAGTCGTCCGTCAGACCAACAACAAGCTTCAACCTCTGTGGGATTACTTTTATTATTATTTACTACATCATCACCATCATCATCATCATCATCATCATCATCACCATCATCATAAGGTGGGTAAAGTCTTCTTTACTTATTTTAATAATCAGTGTGTATAGCAGTGTACACCATCTTCTGTATACTGACAGTAAACCAGAGTTCTGTAAATAAATAAATAAATAAACAGAGTTCTGTAAATAAATAAATAAACAAAGTTCTGTGTTCTGAGTTTTTCAGGTTTGTTTTTCAGGGTCAGTTGGTGGATTTAAGTGTAAGATGTTTCCATGTGAAGCGAAGCAGAACTCTGTGGTTAAAAAACAGGAAGTAAAGAAGTTCCTTTATTAATATAATAACATGTCAGTTGCCATGGTGATGTGGCTGTTTGTCCCTCAGCTGTGATGTGTTCAGGGTTCCCTCCGGCAGTGGAAAAAAAGAGCTCATTAATCGTGTTAAATAATCCAAAAGTTTCCAAAGGTTCATTTTACCTGAACGAATCTGAACCAGACATCAGAGAGACTGAGACAACTCGTACAGAGACCTGAACAGAGACCTGAACAGAGACCTGTACAGAGACCTGAACAGAGACCTGTACAGAGACCTGTACAGAGACCTGAACAGAGACCTGTACAGAGACCTG